TGTATTTAATGGATCAATGGCCGTAGGGCAAAGTTGAACTCAATTTAGTGGAAAAAGGTTGTTAGGCATATATCGAAATGGTTTTTTGTTGATATTTCACTTGCAGGAAATTGGAGCAGGACGTGGAAACTGTTGTGAGGGTGCTACAACCTGGCCCATTGGGAATCATAGAACACAAGTTTAACCGGGAGGAGATACAGAAGGCAAAAGAAACTGTGGAGAGAGCTGTTGGAAATTGGCGGATGCACGCCAAAACTGAGAAGCACAACCCCTTCTTGAAAGATTTTATTGATGGATGATAGAGTTTGCTCTACCTAAGTCACCTATAAATAACTTGTAAGCACATCTAGCTTCAACCATGAATGAATCATAAGTGTCATCATTATCTGCCTGCTGTTTTTGTCATTTGATTACTGAAGTGAGTTGATGCTTTGAATTTTTATTGCATTTGCCATGCTTAACAATTAGCTGTTTGCATTAGTGACTTGATATTAGTTGTTTGCATTAGTGGTTTTGACCAGTGATGTTAATAGCGGCGCTATAGCGGTTTAGCGGAGCGGCAGACATGGAAGGCGCTACCAGGAGGGCTGTAGCATGGCGTTTGGGTGTAGCGGCTATAGCGCCCGCTATAGAAGTGGTGCGGAGAAGGTTGTGGCGGCCACTATAGCGGCGAGTATAGTGGTAAACGGGTATTGCGCATTCTGCGAGGGTTTTTGGCATTAAAGTTTTTAGCTCAGAGGTAGAAGGGGTAAACTGAACTTTTAATACAAAATATTAATCCACTTAAAACCCTTGCACGTACGTAAAAGCTCAAAACGGCTCCAGCTTTTGAAAATACTCAGTTGATGCTCTGCGATGAGTTCTTCTCCAACAACGACAAATGCTGCCCTCCTCTTCCTTCATTCTTCTCAGTAGTATCTTCTGCTGCAACATCTTCTTCTCCAACCTTTTCTGCAGACCTGCAGTGAGTCTTCTTTTATTCTTCTCGTATGGAGTCTAGTCAGTCTACTGCCATGTTTAAGCCCACATGAGAACACCTTGACCCAGCTTGGAGGTGGAAAAGTTTGACTGCTAATATATCAAGGCTTAAACTCTTAAACTAAAACCTTATTGTTGATTCAATGTTTTGACTGATGTTTTAATCATTAATAGCATCTTTTGTTTTGCTCATGAAACTAAAGAGTATTTCTAAGTAATTTAGGATTTATGAATGTTAAGATGTTTGCAACCTTCATTGACACATGTCATACTTTTTGAATTGAATATGTGTATGTAATGTATTATATATGCTTCTAGTAGTTATTTATTTATTATATCTGAAAGTAGCCTAAATAGCGGTCATCCCACTATCCACTATACCGCTATAGCATTTTTGGGGCTGGCCGCTCCGCTCCGCTATCTGGGATTGACAACACTGGTTTGGACCCCGAACTCTTTCGGGACCAAGGCTTGAATGTTGTTTTCTATGCAAAGATGCTTGGTCATATAAATCAGGTGTTACTTGTTTAAATACGTCAAATGCCATAGAACCCTGAAAAGACTAAAGCTTTTATAAATTAGGGGATACAAGATAATTATAGGAAGCAATCTTGAAAAGCTTCTTGTGAAAGTCAAATTAGGAACTTAATTGTGGGATGGAGGAAGTACTTTTCTCAAGACCTAGCAGAACACATATATTGGCAGGTAGATGCATTAGTATAACTGCTTGAATTTAATCTTTATGGCATCTTTTTATGTTTTTTAATATGGGTCTTCATCCTAGTTGTCAAGTACAGAGTCCCTTAGCTTAGCTCGCTTTTAGATACCTGAAGACTTCCTTCTGGAGCAATGGAACAAGCTTACTACATGTTTTTTGTAAAAAGAAATCTAAATGCAGGATATATGAGTGGTTATCTACTTATCTAGAGAATTGATCATTTCCTAATTTTCATATCCACAAGCTAGGGTGTGATTATTTTTTCTGAGGCCACATTAGGTTCAGGTTGTGAAGTGAATGGTATAATTAAGGTGAGTATCTGTTGGAAGGGCTAGACATTTGTTCAACTGGAAAATGAAATAAGCAGTTAGTAGTTTGGTTTACATGTATTATGATGATGATTATATTCTTCCCTTCGGTTTCAGTATTCAAGATTATGTATATCTAGTTTTTTTTTTAATAGAGTTGGAGCAATCTCGAGATTTAAGTTTGATATTTTAGTATTACTGAAAACATACTTGTGTAAAACATACTAGCCCTAATGCCCTATATAGTTTGCATATCCTCTATTCAAAATGCGTAGCCTGTTTGGTATCCAGCTCTTGGCATTTAAATAATTAAATGGTTGTGTAACTTGTGTTGGCGACTTTGATCGGCGGATTGATTTGATGTTTTTCGGAGTATATTTCATGTGAATGTCTCGGTATCGAAACTTTTAATGTTTCTCTAGACTTGTACTTAATTATACTCCCTCCGTCCCAGGGAGAAGTTCCCACTTTCCTTTTTTAGTAGTCCCAACAAAAAGTTCCCATTTCCCTAAATGGAAAGTTATCCTACATCAAAACAGTGTCAAACAGTGTCAAACAGTGCCAAACAGTGTCGAAACAGTGTCAAACAGTGTCGAAACAGTGCCAAACAGTAAAATTTACCCCTCAGTAACTTTATTTCCTAAATATGTGTGAAAGTCAACCCGGGAACTTCTCCCTGGGACGGAGGGAGTATATGACAATTCAATTTAACTATCTTACAATTGCAATCTAAATACTCCATATAAAAATTCAATTACATATAAATACTTTACCTTCAAAGTTGTTTCAAGTATACAAATATGTTTAATCTCCTTACTTAGGATACATTTACTTCACGAGTTACTAAATGGTGCTTATTAAGATTCACGTTAATAAGCGACACATAAAATAAGCAGTGTTGTAAGCTCATGTTTACTTCAAAGGATTGTTTTTTGGCAAAACTTCAAAGGATAAAATACACTTTTTAACTTTAAAATATTCAAAATAACACTATACATATAGACACACAAACATTCATGAACACACGTATATAATATAATACGTGAGTGTCACCTCGTATGCGTACCCATACCCCCGTACTGTACCCCACCCCTATCCCCTACCCTACACCCTACCCACCTCCACACCCTGCCCCTTGACCCCTACCCCTATCACGACCTTACTCTCTACCCCTGCTCCCCTATAACCCGCATACCCCTCACCCCTACCCTACAACGTATAGGTGGGTCAGGGTCAGGGTGGGGTCGAGGTAGGGGCAGATGGTAGGGGGTAAAGGGGGTCGGGGTAGGGTAAGGGGTAATGGGGTGGGTGGGGGAGGTCAAGGTCAGGATGTGGTTGAGGTGGGGGCATGTGGTAGGGGGTAAAGGAGGGGTAGGGTCAGGGTAGTGTAAGGGTATGTGTTGGGTATGGGGTGGGTGGGGCGGGGAAGGTGCAGGGTGGGTAGAGGACTAGAGGGTAAGAATAGGTAAGGGCAAGGGTAAGGGTAGATTCGGAAACTGTAAAAGATTAAAGTGACACTTAATTAAGGGAGAAGGAACAATTAGACCATTAAGGTAAATCTCTAAGAGCAAATAAGACACTAAACTAATTTTAGGAGCAACTACACCACTAAGGTAAACTTCTAAGAGTAAATAAGACATTAAACTAATTTTAGGAGCAAAAAACATTTTTTTGATGAATTTATTACTCTGTATCATTTAGGCCACTCCCTAAAACTCCTTAACATAAGCCAACTGTCTGTTCATCTTCCCATTAATTTTATCGCACTTGGGGTCTTAAATAAAATTTTAAGACTAAACAAGTCAAAACTTTAAGCATGTCAATGAGTTACATTATCATGTATAATGTAAACACCGAACCATGTAAAGTATTCTATCTAAAAATATTGAAAAAATCAATGCAAGTAAGATAGATATTAAATGGAAAATAAAATAGTAAATGTAGACATATCAAGCGATCCTAAAGAATAAAATAAAGTAAGTTCGTAACATATGTTAGCATGAAGCCGAATAGGTTCTTGCTTGACCCATGTATCACATTTCTACATTGAGGCATGGAATAAATTATTAAAATTATTTATTACACAATCATTTTCTAGTTACATAATTTAAAATTTTAAAATTATAAACTGTTAAAAGTTATGTCTTAGGTGTCACAACTAATGTGACGTGGACAATGAAGATCTTCCCAGCAAAGCCAATTAAACTTCATGTGAGATTGAATTGAACCTAGATACAAAATTATCACTTACGTAGTATAATGCACATTAGTATGATTCTTACTTCTGATTTGGTGTGGATAGAATTGAGAACACGAAGAAGAGCTGGTTTTCTTTTTTTAACATTGGTCCCCAATTCCCCATATTTTCTTAAATTTCAGTGTCCAAGTGGAGAAAATTAATGGAGTAAGGAGTGAGGAGATATGACTTGCGTTAGAAATTGTTAATGAGTGTGTAACTGATAATAAAACCATGTCTAAGACTCTAAGTGTGTTTTTTTGTCCCAAAAATTAGCCTAATGTCATATTTGCTCTTAGAAGTTTACCTTAGTGGTCTAATTGCTCCTAAAATTAGTTAAGTGTCTTATTTTCTCTTAGAGGTTTACCTTAGTAGTCTAATTGCTCCTTCTCCCCTTAATTAATATATGATGGGTGATATGATTAGTAAGCGACACTTTAAGCATCTCTTTCGGTTAATAAGCAGTCTTTTAAGCAGTTTGAGTGTTTATTTCACATGTCTTACTAGCCTAACTGTGACTTTAGCAGCGAAGTAAACACGTCCTTAGTTCTTTTGTACTCGATTATAATAATAACACTCTTTTAGTTACGGTCTGCAAAGTACGTTACTTTGCATAACCCTTAAAATAAAAAAATCGAATCGGGAAAAGATAAACAAACTTTAAATTAATAAAAAATAAGGGCATTTACCTAAATAGGAGTAAATAAATCTTTAATTGCCAAAATAGGACTAAAGTTTAAAAATTCCCTAAATAGGAGTTATTATTTGTAATTGGACAAAAACACTCATGAAGCTGGGAAATCATGCTGCCGCCTTCCAGAACGCCGGACCACCGCTGCAGATCTGGACGCCACCGCTGCAGATATGGTTGTCGCCGCTGCAAATCTGGCAGGCACCACCGGACATCTGGCTAGATCTAGCCTCCACCGGTCGTCGGCCACTGCAGTTGTAGATCTGGCCACCATCACAACTAATCCGACATCGGCCTCTGCAAATCTGCCTTTTACCTTTGCAGATCTGTCCATTGCCGGTGCGAATGCCAATTTTTTTTATCAATATGCCAACATGAATCGAGAATGCCATTTTAATTCCATTTTCACAGAAAAATACAATTTTTTTGTAGAATAAGAATGCCATTTTGAGAGTTTAACTTGGCATTTTTGACCAATCAAAGAAGAAACAGAGCAATGAAATAGAATAGGGGAAGAAGGACTAGGAGAACAATCGGAGAAGAGAAGATGACCTTTGGAGAAGAGAAGATGACCTTCGGAGAAAAGAATACGATCTCTGACGGCGACGGTGGTAGGCTTCATGACCGTGGCGGCGGTCTTCACCATAGCGGCGGTGATGGCTATGATCGGGCTTCAAGGTTTGGTTGCTCTTGTGCGAAGGGGAGGAGAAGAGGATTTGGGAGAAGAAGCTGCGTACGTGAGGGGGGGAGAAAGAGGCGTAGAGTTGATCGATCGGGTGCGTGAGTGAAGGAAATAGAAGAAGGGTAATTTTGGAAGAAAAGTCTTATTTGGGGAATAAAAATACACCTACTCTTATTTTGGAATTCCAACCATGGCAAAATTCTCTAAAAATACGTAGTACAGAGTATAACATGCCTTCATACCTGGGCTATACAAAGGAATCTTTCACGGCCCAAAATGTGATGGGAGGAAAATTAAGGAGTAGCGTTATAGCGTATGGTACGGTCAACCTTTTGTATCTCCAATGCTATAATGTGCACTGTGCATATGTGGCATAAGAGATTGCCACATAAATATTAGTAAATAAATTCTTTCTTTCCTTATTTGAATGATTTCATACAGTTTTGGTAAATTTTTCTCCACAATGTCAAGGAGACCGTCTAGATGTTGACATTGCAGTTGACATTGCAGGAAAAAATATACCAAAATTGTATAAAATCATTCAAATAAGGAGAGAGATAATTTATTTGCTAATCTTTATGTGGCTATCACTCATGCCACATGTGCACCATGCACATTCTAGCATGGGAGATGCTCTTATGATAGCAAACACCTACGAAGTATTGTAGTTGATCGGTTAACCAAATCAATTAATGATTCTAATTCCAACAAAAGATGGGTACGTAAAAACTAAAAAGTCATTTGCCAAGTAAACTGGTGATAGTCATAGTCTCAAAATATGAGAGTGAGCAAGTACACTTGAGTAAAATGTTATACTGAGTATATATCAATTTAGTCAAGTCTTTTGAATTTACTTTATTACAACTATGACTAGGTTAGATTCTAATGGTTTTTATCACTTAGGCCCGATCACAAATTAGTAGAATTTAGCCTTTTCAATGGTTTTGAAAATGTTATTTATACATAAGATTAAGTTAAGCTACTACAGATGCATCTGCATTATTTGAATGTTGTTGAGTAAAAACGAAGAAAATGGTCAAAATTGTACATGGAGTTGTTTCGACGGGAGTAAGTAGTACAGTAGTACTTCATCTTGCATTTGAAATTTTAAAGTACTTGAACTTGTACTTTTATAATCAATCAAGTACATTTGCTCTGTCAGAACATTAAAATAGCTGACCTGACCAAACTATCTGTTTGTATTATTCAGTTGCAATCCAAGGCATCAAATAACCAATCTATAAACTATATTTTCCTCCAGTCCACTCGTTTTCACCTTCACTCTTCATCTTATATGTTTCTCGTATGCTCTCCCTTCTCTCCGCTCTACATCTTATATTTCTCCCGTCTACTCTCTATGCTATCCCGTCGTCTTCTTCCTTTTTGCTCTGTTTTATTTTCTTCTTCTCTTGCTAAAATAAAGACGAACCAATAGCAAATAAAAGAAGAAGCCGACATGATAACAAGGAGAGAAGATGAAAAAGAAGGAGAGCAGCTCGGGCGGAGCTAGAGGGGGGCAACCTAGGTTGTAATACTTGAAATTAATTTAAAAGGATTAATAATACTACTCATACCAACAAGATGCATCTCCTTTTAAAGGAGCTCATCTCCTAAGAATTCCAAGTGAAGCGTGCTTGCACGGGAGTATTCTTGGGATGAGTGACCTCTCTGAAAAGTTTCTGAAGGTGCACATGAGTGAGCCCAAAATGCTTTAATTTTACATAGGCCCTGACCCACCTCAAATTTTAAAAATGCTTTAATTTTAAAGTAAAAATTCTGTGTAATTTTATCCCCAAAAATATTCTTTGTACTGCTCCAGTCCGGCTCAATGCCCTGGCTCCGCCCTTGAAGAGCAGACGAGAGAATATATGATGAAAAGCGAGAGAAGAGAGAACAAATTTGAGAAATATAAAATGAAGAGCAAAGGTGGAAACGAGTGAACTGGAAGAGATTAGAGTTTATAGATTAACTATTTGATGACTTGGATTGCAACGATATATTACAAACCGATAATTTGGCCAGGTCAGCTATTTTAACGTTTTAACAGAGCAAATGTACTTATTCGACTTTAAAAATGCAAGTTTATGTACTTCGTAGTTTCAAGTGTAAGATGAAGTATTACTTACTCCACTTGAAACAATTCATGTACTATTTTGACCGTTTTCTCACCGAAAAACTATTATCAATCAACGTGTGTGCTCCACACGTACATTACTATTTACATGAAAAATATTGATTCACTCAACCTTGGGATGTCGGTTGAGTTGGAGAAAATATTGATTCATCGAACTTTGTCCATAATAGTTGTGATTCATTCTTTCGACTACACCATTATGTTGTAGGGTCCGTGACTTCGCTTCTCGTGTCCGATTCCATGTTCAACACAATATGTTAAAAACCTCCGGAGTGTATGCTCTCGCCTTCATTGTCAGATCGGAGACACTTCAACTTCTTTCTTGTTTCTATTTCAACCATAATATGAAACACATAGTATATTAAAGCGATCAAATACTTGAACTTATTTTGAGACAGTAAGCCCATACATTTCATGTTACATCATCAATGAATACTACAAAATATCTATTGCCTCCAAGTGACTCTTCTTCAAAGGGTCCACATATATCACTATGGACAAGACTGAGTAACTCATAGTGATTCTTTCAATAAAGCTGAAAGAAACTTTGTGTTGCTTACGAATAGACAGTGCTTGTAGGGATCCAGGGCAACATTTTGTCAGTCCCATCATCTTCATGTGACCCAATCTCCAATGCCACAAGTTTGGTGTTGTCTCAACAACATCGAGATTTGGCCGATACAACTTTACATGGATTTTATAAAGAGTACCTCATTCATAGAGCCTTTAGAAAAATTTCCATGTACCTTTTTCGAACTGGTTTTCATATATCTTACGATGCAGAGCTACTCCTGATATAGGATTCAATCCCAGGGTAGTTTCGTAACATGTCGAACATCATTCAACACAAGTGTGCTTCCAACATTCATTCTTATGTACACATCTCCAATGTCATCAATGTTTGAGAAACCCCTATGCTGAAGTCTATTCCCGCCATTTTCTTGCTTTCCTGCCAATTCTTCTAGAGCAATAAGCTAAGTGCCCATTGGCAGTAATCTGGTGAATCTTCAAGGATCATGTGTCGTTCGGCCCATGTCGTCTGGCTTATGATGCTCGGGCTATTAGGCCTGTAGACTTACTAGGGTAGTAGGCCTGCCCCGTGCTGGGTCATTTACCCCAACACCGTGTTTCCCATCCTCACAGCTTCATGGTCTCTAAAACAAATCGGGGGGCGTAGCTCACCTGGTAGGAAGGGAGTGCCACAAGGGAGAGGTCCCGAGTTCAACTCCAAGCAATGACTTGGGATGGAGTCTCATTCTCTTTCCGTTAAAGTGAGATCAAAGCTCAATTTACATCCTCCCAGCTAGCTGTCCGGTCGGTGCTGGGGGGCCCTTGGGGATGGGGTGTCATCCTTTTAAACAACTCCATGGTCTCTGAGATTATAAGTTGTGAACTTATTTTGGTGTGGTGCGAAATGAAATTATATTGGGGTACCAGTTACCCACTCGGTATCATGTGTACTTAGCTATTGCAGACGTGCTTCTTCTTCGCAAGTAACAAGTGCAATGTATGGTGACGTAGTGACCATAGTCTCACCATCTTCTTTGCTTGAATATTGACGTGTTTGGGGTTGTTTAGAAAGAAACTTTTGGCAAACTCTCTTTCTCCGGACTCCGGATCCAACTCTGTGGCTCTGTGAGGGCCTCAATATGTTCCTCAGGCCTCAGTCTATTCTCTCATCTCATCTAATTTCATCGCACTCTTACTCTTTCACCCTCTCACACGCTTCTGGGTTGAAAGTTCAAACCCTAAAGTCATCGAACATTGAACCATGGAAGCATTGCCCCTTTTCCAGTATACTTGGCATCTGGACGAACGACTGGATTTTCTGGTAAAGCTAAGCTGACTCTCAGTCTCCCACACTCTCATCTCAGTCACACTCGAGCATGAGGTATAACTTCTATTCTCTGATTGATGAAGAGTGTGTAAATTGTGTTTGTGGGTTGTGGTTTATTTTGTGACTCTGAGCAGAACTTGAATTTTGTGGAAGTGGAAATGATATTTGTGGGATATGGTATGTGAGTGTCTGTGGTTGATGAATATTCAATGACTGAGATGAGAGGGTATGTTTGTCCGTGACTGTATGTCTATATGTGATTATGAAATTATGAGTTGCTATTTGGTGGAGGCCCCAAAGAAGAATGACGATGAAAAATTAATTGTTCTTTTTTCTAAATTATGAACTACAAGCTGTAGAAGGTTGTTTGTATTGATGTTGCCTATTACTCGTTGCTTATTGTTGTTTTAGAAGGTACCTGATTGACTCAAACACTCAATCTGAGTAGTAAGAGTTAACGGGTTCTTCTTAATCTATAGAGAATAGTAAAGCCCGGCCCACTGCTTATACTATTCTGTAAATTCCCTTGGTAATTGTTCCAGACTGGATTTGTATAACTGTATGGCTGCATTAAGTGAGAATGATTTGTAATGATGGTAACGAAGTACAAAAATGAGTATTATGGCCCCAAAGAAGAATGAAGGAATGATGATGAAAGTTGATTTCTTCAGAATTCTGATAGTGGAAGCTTTGTAAAAATGTACTCATGTGCATCCCAAGAAGAATGAATATCAAAGAATGATTTATTCTTCTTTCTCAATTATGAAAGAATGACGTTGGAAGTTAAGTAAAAATGTACACATGTGAAAAAGTCCCTAAGTTACAACTAATTCCATTGCATATAAATCATATCTCAGGCATCAGAATTATCAATGTAACCCAGACAACAAAGTATCTGAGTCACCTATTTTTCTGATTCACTGATATTTGATTTCATATGGTTTATAGATGGAGTCCCAAGAAATATCGTTATCTGGTGCTCAATCTCCTCCAGCCCAATAACCAACCCAATAACCAGCAGTGGAAGCTCCAAATGTAGAGCAGAACACTACCACTGAGCAGATTGCTAC